CACCTTGGACTTCTTCCTTCAGTATCATTGGCTCTTGATCATATCCTGCCTATGGAAACCGGTGAACATCAACCATTTCCTTTTGGTACAGTGACTTTGTGTATTCCTTCCATATTCTTTGATGTTTTCTACATCATTCAATAATTTGCCCAGAGAATCCTTCAGTAATGAAAGTCAAAGCTTGAATTTTTTTCTTCAGTTCTCTCAGCTTGAGAAGTGCTGAGTATGTTCTTCCCTTTTAGTTTTCTGACTCCAAATCTTTGAACATTTCATTGTAATGTTTGACTTTGGCTTCTCGATCTGATCTTTTGAAATATTCTGTTCAGATCTTGTACCTCCTCATTTCTTCCATTTGCTTTAGTATCTCTACACTGGAGAGCTAGTTTCAGTGTCTCTCTGATATCCATTTTTTTACCTTTTCCCTTTTTCCGGCACTATATCTGACAATGTTTCTCTGCTCTTCATAACATTTTCAGTTATTAAATATTCGGAAGTAGTTTGTCTTTCTTTCTTCATAGTCTATTTTCTTGTAGAAACTCATCTTAAATGTGTCCAACATGGGTGACCCTACTGATATTTAAAATACCCATGGCATACCTTCCAGAATCACAGCAACTCACAAGCCACCACAGTATAACAATCTGGGAGACAAGTGAAATTCCTTTAGTCTGTTTATCTGGAAATATTCTAATTTCACTGTCATATTTTAGGGACAGTTTTGTTGTGCATATGATCTTGGTTAGTAATTATTTTTCTTATGGTTTTGTATATGTCTTCCTATTGCCTTCTTGCCTGCATGGTTTCTGTAGAGAAATCAGAGTTAACATTATTATCTCTCTTTTTTCAGGTAACTTTTTGTTTTTCTGGAACTGTGCTCAGGACCTTTTCTCTGTCTTTGATTTTGGAGAGTTCAATTATAATGATTTGGTGATTTTCTTCTAGGGTCTATCCTGTTTGGGGCTCATTCAGCTTCTTGAATTCTTATCTTCTCATCTTTCATGATGCTAAGGAAGTTATCTTCCAACAATTTTTCAATTATCATTTCTGTGCTTTTCTTTATCTTTTCTTGTTCTGAAATTCCAGTCACCCATAAGTTATTTCTTTTCATGTTTTCCCACATGGATCGTAGGCTTTCTTCCATTTTTTTTTTTCTTTTTTTTTTTTTTCTTCTGATTGTTCTAACTTGCTAGTATTGACATGCTTATCTTCAAGATCACTAATTTTTGCTTCCATTGATTCATATCCACTCTTTTGCCCTTTCAATATATTATTAATTTCTGGTATCTTAGTATTAAACTTTTGGGTTTTTATTTGCAGGTTTTGTATGTTCTCCAATCCTTTATATATTTTGTTTGTTCCTGTAGTGTTTTCCTGAGATCTTCCTTGTTTTCTTGACTTTTCTGTCAAGAATTCAGCGACACTTAAATATCATTCTCTTGATTTATTTTTCAATCCCAAAGCCTTTTTGTCCTCAAAAGGGTTTCCTAGCTCCACATCTTGGTCATTTGTTTGAAACACTCTTTTTTGTTTCTTAGTGTGAGCAGAATTGTTGCTTCTAAAACATTGTGGTATTGTTGAATTTGTGTTATACTGATTATTGTATGTTGGTGTATTCTTAGTCACTCACCTACTTCCTCTTGCTGCACATGATAAGGGGATGGAAGAGTGTACACCATTCTCTGTTCACCTTTAGTGCAACTCCGTTTAGGATGGGTTTGGCTAATGCTAGTTGTTGTCACTTATTGAGTGTATAGCAGCTGGCATTGAGTTTTCCCAGTGTGTGGGGCTATTGAAGTTATGGTTGTGACTGGGCTGTATTGGAAAGGTTGCTGCCCCTTGTCAGGTGAAGCAAGAAGAAAAAGCACATACATAGAGAAGGAAAAAACAAACAACAATGAAAGAAGAAAGAGAACTGCAGGAGGGGGGCAGGCAACAGCTAGAAAAACAAACCATAAACAGAGAAAAGTGAGAAAGGCATGGTGGAGATCAAATCACAGAAAAGAAAAATAAATGAGAAAATTAAAAAAAAAAGTGAATGAATACTTGGAGAGAGAGAGATGGGTAAAAGGGAAAGCAATTAGAAAGTAATAAAGAAATTCCAATAGATAAAAAGAGAAGGAGCCATGATTGGGAAAAAGAAGAAATGAAAGTAGAGACAGAAAGGACAAAATGCAAGATTAGTCTGTAAAAAGTGGAAGAAGTGAACTAAAGAATAAACAACAAAAACAGTGAAAGAAAACAAAAACCTGGGCAAGTGCCAAATCCAGAGAAGAGAAAAAGCTGTGGTCTCCTGCAAATCAAAGACATTATGTGGTGAGTTGGCAAGAGTTGAGACAGTGGGGTTTTGGCCCTAGGTGGACTTCCTGTAGGGTTATGTCTTATAGTTTGTGAAGACTCCAAAGCAGTTGGGGGACCAGGGTATT